TTTGACTTGGGAATATCTATGTTATTCCTTCACTATCACTGGGTCAAAATTCTGAACATTTCACTTATTTAGGAGGTGGCTCAGCACCAACTCCTCAAGGATACCAAGGGATTGCATTAAATATTGGCTTTGCCAGTGATGTCCAGTTTCCACAAATGCATTTTAAAAATGTACACCACACCTTCCTTGTTGTGGGCATCGCCATACTGTGTTATTTTTGCAGATACAAATACTCACACAACATATGGAAATTCAGGTGTGGCAGGTCCACTTAACCATACCTGGAACTTCCCATTCTCTGAGCAGAAACTCATTCTGTTATGATCAATGCCATTGGAAATAACCATCTAAAAAGAGTAACTTTGCCAAATTTCTAGAAAAATGGTATAAAATCAACATTTTGACTTAAAAGTCCTTTAAAGATGTTATATAAATGTAAACCATTGTTTCAGTCAGAAGGGAAGGGAAAAGTCTGTCAACGCTGGAGAATCTTGGCAAAAATCCCAAATATCAGAGTCCCATGGACAGAGCGATTCCCTCAATTTATAAGACTTGAAAGGGAAACATGCCCATCAGAGAGAGGACAGTTAACAACAAGGAACGCTGGTTTCTCTCCATGGATGCTGCCTGACCCACTGTGATCTCCAGCATTTTTTGCTTTCAGAACAGTTAACAACAACTTAGATATATATTGCATCTTTAACTTAATGAAACATCCCAAGACATTTCAGGAGCTCTTTAAAACAAAGTATGACACTGAGCCACATTGGTGATATTGTCAGGTGGCCAAAACATTGGTCAAAATGGCAGATTTTAAGGAGTTTATGAAAGCATTAAAGTGAGGTCGAGAGGTACAGAGGTTTAGGAAGGAATTCCAGAATGTGTGGCCCAGGCAGCCACAGGTATGGTCACCAATGGTGAAGCAACTACAATTGGGCGTCCACAAGAAGTAAGAATGAGAGGGCTGTAGATATCTCAGAGGGTGTTGGGGCTAGAGGTGAATTGAGAGATAAGGATGAACAAGATCATGGAAACATTTGAGAAAAGAGGAACATGCATTAGCAGCAGGAGCATCTGGCTGTGACCTCTACTTTCCTGTCTACCCCTGTACTCCTTGACTCCCTTGTCAAAAAATAACTTTTCTCATTCAGCCTTTAAAATATTCAATGGCTCAACCACCACTGCTTTCCGGGTAAGAGAATTTCACAGACAGTGACTCTCACAGAAACTGGGATGAGAATTTTTAGGTCACAACATTGCTTGACTGGTAAGCGACGTAGGTTAGTAAGCACATGGGTGACAAGTAATCAGAATTTGTTTACAGTTAAGACTAAGAAGTTCAGGAATATTGCCTTTGCTTGATTCTCATTGAATCATCTGGATCCAGCAACAATGAAACAATCAGCAGGATCAGATTGATAACCTATAATGCTTCCTCAGACCTGGAAAAATACCCCTTGAATGTAAATACCTCTTGTGAACAAAATTATTTTGAATTTTAAGCACAGACAGAGGACATTTTCCCCATGCTGTTGGCTCTGGCATTCCAAAATTCCCAATCCTCATCTCTCTGCCCAGCAGGGAGATGTGGTGTACAGTAGCAGTGTGTGAAATTTAAAAGAAACCTGGAATTTAAGATTAATTATCATAAAACTATCATAAACTGTTGCAAACAAACCCATCTGCATCACTTTTGCTCTTTATTTGCCATCCTTACCTGGCTTGGCCTGCATGTGACTTCAGACTCACCACAATGTGTTTAGCTCTTAATTAGTCTCTGAAATGCATTGGCAATCCACTCAGATCAAGGGCACATAGGGATGGGCAACAATTGCTGCACTAGCCAAAGATGCCCACATCCCATGAAAGAATTTTTAAAACACTGCAAAATGCTTCTTTCCTAATTCTCTCCATAAGGGAGATACATGCTTTTATGCATTTGCTGAAAACTTCCAAAGAGAGAATGCTGCACCAAACAACACCAATTTCTCACTCCACAATGTTAAAGACCTCAGAACTGCATTGAAGAAAGGTAATTGATCCCAGAGAAGACCTGATTATTTCCAAAAATACCTTAGGAACAGAAAGATAAAATAGTTTCTTCAGCCCTACCCTTCCTGGGGGCTTGTTGGTCTAGCAGACCAATGGCTGAGGTGTTAATTATTTGGGTATGTTAATTATTTTGGTAAGATACACCAATGAAGGGTATTGTTTACTTAAGAACCTGGAGTACTTATAAAGAGACTCACAAAAGCACATTTTAATTGGATTTAGCATGTTTCTTTTGGGGGTTTAACTTAAATTACACAGCTCCTTTTATGGGGCTATTTGGTTTAATTGGAGTTAATTTCTTTCATGGCTTTATCTAAAATTGTACAAAGTAAAACCACCTGCACAAACTAAATTTTTAATTTAAGCCTTGTAAAATTCCCTTGATGATACTTTTTCGCTTTTGTATTTTCTAATCAGCCTGTCTGGAAAGGGTATGACACAACTTGGGATTAAGTGGGACTTGACCTAGGTCTCCTAGCTCAGAGGTAGGAACATTATCACTGTGCCACATAAGCCCTTTCCTTTAGGATGGTGACTTGTCATATGGTGTCCATTTAAGGCTCAATTAAGTTGATTTGGTTTAATTTTAAATAATGAAGAGAAAATGCTAGGACACAGTGGTATGAAGAGAAGAAACATCAAGATTGGGGACTGTTGCTGAACAAGAGACCTTGGAGTGCAGGTTCATAGTTCCTTGAAAGTGGAGTCACAGGTAGATAGGATAATGAAGGCAGCATTTGGTATGCTTGCCTTTATTGGTCAGTGCATTGAGTATAGGAGTTGAGATGTCATGTTGTGGCTGTACGTGTCACTAGTGAGACCAATTTTGGAATACTGCGTTCATCTCTGGTCTCCCTGCTATAGGAAGGATATTGTGAAACTTGAAAGGGTTTGGAAAAGATTGACAAGGATGTTGCCAGGGTTGGAGAGTTTGAGCTATAGAGAGAGGCTGAGTAGGCTGGGGCTATTTTCCCTGGAGCCTGAGGGGTGACCTTGCAGAGGTTTATAAAAACATGAAGAACACGGATAGGGTGAAGGTCTTTTCCCCAGGGTAGGGGCGTCCAAAACTAGAGGGCATAGATTTAAGGTGAGAGAGGAAAGATATAAAAGGGATGTAAGGGGCAACTTTTTCATGCAGAGGGTGGTGCGTACATGGGATGAGCTGCCAGAGGAAGTGGTGGAGGCTGGTACAATTACAACATTTAAAAGGCATCTGGATGGGTACATGAATAGAAAGGGTTTAGAAGGATATGGGCCAAATGCTGGCAAATTTATATACTATATCTGGTTGGCATGGACAAGTTGGACCAAAGGGTCTGTTTCCGTGCTGTACATCTCTATGACTCTATGACCTTTGGTTTCATCAATATAAAAGTTGCTCTAAAGAAGTCCACTCTATCAGTGCCTGGCGTGAAAAATAATTTCCCATCCACTCCAAATCAATGTCTAAAAATCACAGATTCCCGAGGCGTTGTGCAAACTTTGTAGTTGTATGCTTTGCTGGGAGTCAGAAGGCATCTTGTTTAATGAGCAGAAACTGGATTTTGGCTGCACTTTCTGGCTTAATTTGAACAGTAGTGTGGGAGCTGCCCTGAGGGAATTCTGCTGAGTGTCTTTTGTTAAAAGTCCTCCAGAAAAAGCTTCAAGGAGGTGGCCATCAATAATATTCAGCCAAGACATCCTGAGAGTTGCGGCTTTCTACTGGGACTTTTGTAGCCTACAATAAGACACGTTGTGTGCATCTGTGTGTTGGAGGTATATCAAGGCCATTGGAGGCTCTAGGACTCCGACTAAGCCACAACTAGAATCGTTCATCCAATTCTGCTTGCCACACTTCAAGAAGGCTCGAGAGGGTGCAGAGAAGATTTACCAGAATGGTTCCAGAGATGAGGGATTTTAGTGACAAAGATAGAATGGAAAATATGGAGATATTCCCCAAATAGCAGGGGAGATCTGACAGAGGTGTACAAGGTTATGACAGGTCAGATAAACAAGACAAAAATGATATGTATATTATGTATAAGCACTAGGTGGACACAGATTTAAGATTTTGGGCAAGAGATGCACGGAGATATGAGGAGAAAGATTTTTATTAGACAGCAGTAATGATCTGGAACTCCCTGCATATGAAGTTGGTGAAAGTGAAAACAATGAATGATTTAAAAGTTTATGGGATGGCCATATGAGGCCAATGAAGGCACAATGCTATAAAGGATTCAGTTCAAGAATGGGACAGGCTAGATTGCTCTACAGAGCGTCAGCATAAACTCAAAGGACTGAATGTCTTCCTTCTGTTCAACAGTGAAGTTTTGGACAGAAGGACTCCTGATTGGTAAGTAGTAGTCTGGTGATTCTTTTTTCTCTTACCTTCAATTTCCATTAATTTTCACACCCATAAGGTTTTGGAAAGGTAGGATTTAGGCTAGTGATGGAGTAACAGAATACTGGGATTTAGAGAAGTACATAGACTGTGATTTACAAAATAGTGTACTTAGTTTTTAGTGAGTATCAAACACCAGAGACCATCCAGTTAGCTATAAATTAATTCAATAGAAATTTATTTTTAATTAAATAGGTCATGGTACACATTGTTACCTACAACATAGGTAGGAAGAGTGATGAGGTCCTGCAAAGGGAGTTCAGGAAGTTAGGTAGTAAACTGTAAAGATCTCCAGGGTTGTAATCTTGGGATTACTCTCTGTGCCACATGCCAGTGAGGCTAGGAATAGAAAGATAGTACAGTTAAATACATAGCAAAAGGGTTGATGCAGGAGGGAGGGCTTCAGTATGTTGATCATTGAGATGTCTTCCAGGACAGATGTGTCTTTATCCTAAAAAGATAAAGATGTCCAGGACCAACTAGAATTGTAGTTTATTCACAGGAACTGCTCAATAATCCTCTGAGATTATTACGTGTTAAAATGGATATACTGCAGTATTTTACTCACCTTGCTCCTTCTTGAAAGTGTTCTCAGTCATGAAAACCGGCATCATCAATTCCCCCACAGGCGGCTGAATGGACATATAAAACTGCCTGGTCTGGGAGCTGAAAAGGCACCAGAAATAAAAACACTACTCCATCATGTTGGGTCAACATACTCCTGATCCCAGTTTTCATTCTGGGGTCCCTTTCCCCAGTACCTCAATGTTAGGGCCTGACCATTCCCCCACCATCACCTCAAAACACCAAGCCTCTATAATCCTGAATCCCTCTGACCCACATGCTTGGCCTACTCAGTCTCTGTGACCCATTGTTTCTGTCTGGACTCCATGTTAGCCTTAGCATCAACTTCAGGATGGTCAACAACATTACAGCTTAAAGTCAAAAAGGTAGATCATAAATTGATTATCACACCAAAGATAGCTGTTGTGTATTCCACAGAGTGAGATAGCATATGCTCATCTGTAGGTAGACATTATTGAACTAACTTTATCAACAGAGAGTACTATAACAAAATGGTTGGCTATATCAATAAAGCTACATAAAAAAAGGTTTCTCCTCAAGTCACATTGCGGTTCTCTTGTTAATCATCTTAAATCAGTGCCCTCTGGTCCTCAATCCTTCCACCAGTGAGAACAATTTCTATCTGCTCTGTCCATACACATCATGATTTTGAACATCTTGATCAAATATCCCTTCAATCTTCTTTTCTAGCCACGTAACTGAAGTTCTTCATTCTTGGACCATCACTTGTGAATTTTGTTTGCATCTCTCTAAAGCTTTCACATCCTTTCTAAAGTGCGGTATCCCAAACTAGACACGGTACTGCAGCTGAAACTGAACCAGTCATGACTTCCTTTTTTTTGTATTCCATTTCCCTACTTATAATACATTCAATCATGGGATGGCAGAGATGGGTTGCCTCCTTTGAATGGTTGGCTATTTATCAATTTATCATTATAACTGTAGCAGACTATATGGGAAGGGGTTGGGGAGTCCCTATGTCATTGCTGACAGTCACAGCTCCCACACAAACACAAAAATTAAAAGTATAAGTAGATCATTTGGCATCATGAGCCTGCTCAGCCATTCATTAAAATTATGGCTGTTCCAGTCATAGTCTCAACTCCACATTCCAGCCTATAACCTGTAACTCTTGACTCGCTTTCAGTCAAAAATCTGTCTGACTCAACACTGAGTATATTCAATGACCTAGCCTCCACTGCACTCTGGAAAAGAGAATCCCAAGGATCAACAACAATCAGGCAGAAAAAAGTAGTCTCAAAACTTGAATGGAAGACTCTAAATTTTTAAACGATGTCCCCTAGTTCTAAGTTCCCTCAAAAGGAGAAACATATTCTCAAAAACTACCCTGTCATATCCATTCAGAATCTTATATGATTCAATAAGAGCACCATTCAATCTTCTACACTCCAATTTGTACACCTTATACAGGGCACTGGCGAGACCACATCTGGAATACTTTGTACAGTATTGGACTCCTTATGTTGGATAGGTTAGGCCTGTATCTATCAGAATTTAGAATAGTAAAAGGTGACTTGATTGAAACATATAAAGTTTTGAGGGATCTTGACAGGGTGGATGTGGAAAGGATGGTTCTAGTCTAGAAGTCACTCTTTAAAATTCAGGGGTTGCCCATCTTTATTTCCCACTGAGGGTTGAGAGTCTTTGGAACTCTCCCTCAATAGGCAGTGGAAGCAGAGCTTTTGAATATTTTTAAGATAGAAGTAGCTAAACAAGGGGATGAAAGATTATTGCGGGTAGGCAGAAATGTGGACCAATCACATCAGTAATAAACATATTGATTGGTGGAACAGGTTTGAGGGGCCCAAATGTCTACTTCTGTTCCTAATTTGTATGTTTGTCAGCCCAATCTGTGCCTGCTCCTGGCAGAGGTATGTAGCAGGGGTCTGCAAATATTACACAAATTTTATGCTGTTCTCTGCTTGCTGTAAAAGGGAAGTATCCACAGATCATAGGGCTGCTCTCTTGTTAGAGATAGATAACTGGTGGTGGCTTAATGTGAGGGTCACATGCCTCAGGCAGTGTGGGAATTGAACCCATGCAGTTGGCATTACATTGTATCACAAACTGATCATTTAGCCAACTAAGCTAACTGACCGACCTTCAGTTTGCTATATCTGTATCCTAAAGTGAACTTTAGTCCTTTGAGATGGCCCAGATCACTTTGCTATTCAAATTCTGGGGCATATTCTAATACACTGTCATTAAACAGGCCCCTGGACAAAGGCAGGCTTCATGTGTTCCAAGGGAGTAAAAGGCAGTGAGTGAATAAATGAAACGCAGAATTGTTACAGCGCGGAAGGTGGTTATTCTGCCTCAGAATGGTCAATTCACTTAGTGCCATTCTTTTGCCTTCTCCCTGTAGCTCTGCACAATTTCCTATTCATATAACAATCTAATCCCTTTTGAATGCTTTGATTGAACCTGCCTCCACCACACTTTGAAGCAGCGCACTCCAGACACTCTCCACTTGCTGTGTGAAAAAGTTTCTTCTCATTTCACTTTTGCTTCTTTTGTTCTTGGTCATTTCATGAGTGGGAACACTTTCTCCCTATCTGCAGTATCCAGACCCTCATGATTTTGAATACTTTATTCAAATGTAAGCTTGTTTTTTGAACATGGCAAGAAGACTTTGACTCCAATGTGCTTGAAATCAGCCAATAACTCTGTATTGCATAATTCAGTCCTTTGTATTTTTACTGTTTTATGTATTGGACAGCTGCCCGTGTGAGTGCTGTTAATAGTTATGAACATTCTACATACTGGGAACTATGCAATAATGTTGTTTACAAAGTTATGTAATGGGGTGAGTTAAGGAATTATTGGGTGAACTCTCTAACTCAAATTCTTTAGACTGTTCCCATTCTTTTATTGAGTGATTTTTTTTTTCATTCCTAGTTTCAAAATTGGAGTTCTTCTTGCTATCCCCACATAGAAAGATGTAACCTAAAATCTTTTGAGGGGCCAGATGTACAGTTCCAAGGACAGTGACCATGTCAATGAAAGTCACTCACCACAGCTGGAAGTTGGCTGCTTGAGTGGAATCACAAAAATCGATGCCCAATGTATCTCCGATGACCTCACCTGGCTGGAGGATTGCTTGTGACGTTGAAACGAGAAAGAGTGGATAAGAAACAAAAGAAGAAAAAAATCAAATTGTAATTTAGTCGGGTCTCATGTGGCATTGTAAAGTGATGTTGAACCAAAGTAAGAGTGCATATATGATGGTCGAATTGCTTCTTTCTGTGTTGTAACCATTCTATGATTTGGTGAAGTGCAGACACTGTGGTAATATAGAGAACACAGTGGGCAATTGTTACACTGCCACCTCCCATAAACAGCAATGTGAAAATGACCAGATAACTTGTTTTTGTGATGTTAAATTGAGGAATTAATATCTGTAAGGACTCTGGGGAAAACTCCCTGCTCTTCTTCAAACTAACGCCATTATGCCTACCTGAGAGAGCTCTGTTTAGTGTTCTTTTGAAGAGTGGATGTCCTGTAGCAATGCTCAGTATGAATTGAAACAGTCTCCATGTAGGATTGGTGGGAAAGTCACTCAGAAGTAACTGAAGATATCAAAGGAACTGACTCCATTCTCCACTAAATAAAAACAGAAAGAACTGCGGATGCTGTAAATCGGGAACAAAAACAAATTTGCTGGAAAAGCTCAGCAGGACTGGCAGCATCAATACCAGTTCTGAGGAAGGATCACAGGACCCAAAATGTTCACTCCGTTTTTTTCCTTAATAGATGCTGCCCAGACCTGCTGAGCTTTTCCAGCAACTTTGTTTTTATTCCATTCTCCACTAGTCCACCACAGAATGTTTTCTGCGAATATCGGAATCAAAGATAGGGTCTAAAAAGAGTTTTATTTCCATGTGGTAGTCCCTCAGAATGAGGATGACATTTGCTCATGGTAAGAACCTTTAACGTGGGGAAGCTATTCTGCAGAAGCTACCACGCGGTTCTGGCTGACCAGTAAATTCTTCTGATTTGTCACCTGCCATAGGTGTATCAGAAGAATGTACAGATTGATAGTCAACCTGTTTGGCCACATAATGACACAACATTTGAGGTCACCATGTTGAGATGGGCTCAGAACCTGGAAATTTTCATCCAGAGGTAGGGACCTTGCACACACGCTACAACCCTAAAAAGGGATAGATTTAGGGTTAGGTCAAGGACAGAGCAAGGTCGAAAAGGACAAGATATGAAACATTGACATCTTTCTTGATGCAGATGCCCGCTGATCTACTCAAAGTCTCCAGAAGTTTCCTGTTCCCCCAGACACTTACCAATCTCCTTGAATCCCTGCAATCTCATTCCTGGCTGTAGCTTGGGCTCGGCAATGTGGAGATTTCGGAATTCCATTTCCGAATTGTTGGTGAACTGCATCTGGACGGAGACCATGGTGTGGTCTGGGCTGAATGGCCGCCTGTTGAAGTAATACTCCACCGACAGCCCCTCTCCTGTGATGCGATGAAGCAACTCATAGGTTTTCACTCCCCCCAGCAAGGGACTTGACACCTAAAACAAAGACCAGAACCTTGAATTGGGGGAGGTGTGCAGGGGGTGTTTGGCTTTATCTTTAAACATGAGTTTCAGGATTTCACTGAGTTGAGGATTTGATTACAATCTGGAACCTGGATCACCCTTCCAGGGCTAAGAATATGGGAAGGAGAGGAGACCATTCAGTAGCCTGAGGCCTGTACTGCCAATTAGATCATGGCTGACTTGTGTCTCAGATTCATTTCCCAGCCTTTACTCCAGATTCCCCGATACCCAACAAGAATCTATCAACCTCAACTCCAGAAGTACCAACTTCCTCTCAGCATCCACAGCCTTTTTGAGAGAGAGTGAGTTTTAGATTTCTGTCAATTGCTGTGCAGAGATAATATTTCCTGATTTCCTTACTGGCTTTAATCTTATTAATTTGTCTGGATGCATTTGATGTGGAAGTGCCGGTGTTGGACTGGGGTGGGCAAAGTCAGAAATCACACAACATCGGGTTATAGACCACTCCACCTGACGAAGGAGCAGCACTCTGAAAGCTTGTGATTTCAAATAAACTGTTGGACTATAACCTGGTGTTGTGTGATTTCTGACGTGGATTCCTTTGAAACTGGCTGCTCTCTGATGACCCTCTCAAATCCTTGTGTTGTTTGTCATGGGAGGGAAGGGGAATTATCATTCAAAATTTTCCTTAATATGCCAAAGCAATATAAAGCAAGCAGGAAAATTTAAAAAAAAAGCTTCATTTATATAGTGCATGTCACAACCACTGGCATTTTATAAATTCCTGCTTTGGAAATAAAACCAGTCTGTCTCCAAGTTAATACACAGTCAGATTCTAAACAAGGACTCATACCTAAAATGCATTGTCGGACTTGAGATGTCACCTCTAGGATACTAATATAAACCTTTAGTTATCTCAGGGCAGTGACTTGAAAGAAATTCTGGGATTTGCATATTAATCCTTTCTAACTGATTAAAGATTTAACAGCCATCTTAGGTTTGTTCAATATATTCACATCAGTTCTATGACCCTTTGATCTTATGTTTATAAATTCTGTGTCTAATGCCACATCTATCACCAACATCTGAAGAAGGAGCGAGACTCCAAAAGCTTGTGTCCTCAAATAAACCTGTTGGACTATAATCTGGTGTTGTGTGATTTTTGACCTTGTCCATTCCAGTCGAACACCAGCATCTCCACATCACGACAACCACTGGACATTTAAAAGCACTTACCAACAACAAAGTGCTTTTGAAAGATCTTTTGAAGTGTAGTCACTTGCATACAGTAAGCTCCCAGAAATTTTATAATGATCAGATAATCTGTTTTTGTGACTGGAAGAAGGCTAGAACACAGAGTACTCAGATAAGCCATGAGAGCAGTGAATGATGGAATGGCACAAGGGACCAAGTGGCTCAGTACTGTTCCTAGCTTGTGAAAGGGAGGGTTTCTTTTAATTTATCTTGAACTCAAAAACCAGTCAGAGATATTTGAAATTTCACCGGTGTTTATTCATACATAGAATCATACAACACAGAAACAGGCCCTTTGGCCCAACTCATCCATGTTGACCAGGCTTCCTAAAATGAACTAGACTCATTTACCTGTGTTTGGCCCATATCCCTCTAAACTTTTCCTATCCATGTATCTGTCCAAATGTCTTTTAAATGTTATAATTGTACCAGCCTCTAACACTTCCTCTGGCAGTTTGTTCCATACACCATAGAATCCCTACAGTGTGGAAACAGACCCTTCGGCCCAACAAGTCCACACCAAACCTCAAGCATCCCACCCAGACCCGCCCCACTATAACCCACTTAACCTATACATCCCTGAACACTATGGGGCAATTTAGCATGGCTAATCCACTTAGCATGGACATCTTTGGACTGTGGAAGGGAACTGGAGCATCCAGAAGAAACCCACACAGACACAGGGAGAATGTGCAAACTCCACACATTTGCCTGAGGGTGGAATTGAACCCAGGTCCCTGGCACTGTGAGGCAGCAGTGCTAACCACTGAGCCACCGTGCCGCCCCTTCTGTATACACCACCCTCTGTATGAAAAGTTTGCCCCTCAGGTCTCTTTTAAATCTTTCCCCTCTCACCTTAAAACGATGCCCTCCAGTTTTGCACTCCCCTACCTTGGGGAAAAGACCTTGACAATTCACCTTATCTATGTCCCTCATGATTTTACAAACCTAAGGTCACCATGCAGCCTCCTATGCTTAAAATCACAGCCTATTCAGTCTCTCCTTATATCTCAAACCTTCTAGACTTGGTAATATCATTGTAAATGTTTTTTGCACCTTTTTCAGTTTAATAGCATTGTTTCTGTAACAGGGTGAGCTGAATTGTATGCAGCACTCCAAATGTGGCCTTACCAGTGTCTGGTATAGCTGTAACATGACGTCCTAACTCCTGTACTCAATGTTCTAATCGATGAAGGCAAGCATGCCAAATGCCTTCTTCACCTTTAGACGCCACTTTCAAGGAACTACATGTACAAGGAAGATACACACTTCCTGTGGGAAAAATGGGTCTCCTTGAATCATTACTTTGATTTTATAGCGTTTTTACATGTATGTTACAGTGATTCCTTTGTATGCGCAAGGGTTCTGCTCCTGAGCACCCCTACAAATGATGAAATTTACGAGTGTGGAGCTCATTAAAAAAAGGGTTAAAAATTGGAGATACGAGATTTTTGCCTGTGGATGTTAAATTTTGTTCTTGCTTCTTTCTTGGTGCAAAAAGGTGAATTCTCGCTTTGTGATTTCGCAAATACTGCACGTTATTTGAATGTACCAATCGCCTATAATACATGTGATTAGGTTCATCCAATCATGGTCAAATCCCATCTATAACATTTGAATAGTAAATTAATACCAGGGCATGTGCACAGGAAGGGGTTGGGAGGAAGGTAAACAAATGGCCAACTGCGATGTCTTTAATCTTGTTTTGATGGAACATCTAATCTTTACTTACTGGAACATACTATCTGTTTATTGCCCCAGTACAATGGCTTCAAGTCTTAGGGTGATAGAGTGGCACATCCAGCCTTCTTCTCATGGGAAAGAAGCTATTTGCTCTAGATCTAGCATCATTCACATGGGAATGTTACTGTTTCATTGTCCTACGTGATACTTTGTAACTCTGGGACATGACCATTCACATTAAGCTTTTCTCCTTTGTTTGTGCCATGTCTGTTCTGCTAACATGTCTAACCTCATGCAACTTTAATATGCTGGATTAATTCAATTATTTTACCTAAACTACTTTACTTACTCCAAATACTATCCTGCCTAAGATTTATTAAATGTTTATTTTCGCTGATTGTTTTCCCTTTCTCTTGAGTGGTTATACATTGTGATGTTAATTGAGGAATAAATATTTGGCAGGATACGAGGGAGAAATCCCTGTTTTTCTTTCAAAATGGCACCATGGGAACCAGAGACTCAGATTAATGCACTAGATACACATGTTCAAATCCCACCCCAGTAGAATTTAAATTCAATCAAGAATATGGAATATAAAGTTAGTCTGAGTAAGGATGGTGAAAAAAACTACCATCAATTGTTGTAAAATTCCATCTGGGACATCTTAATGTTCTTTAAAGACCAAAAAATAATAAACAAGGAGAAAATAAACTTTGAGAATAAACCAGCAAGTAATATAAAAAGAGATGAGTTTCTTGAAATATATATATAAAGGAAGAGAGAGGCAAAAGTAAATATAGGCCCATTAGAGAATGAATCCGGGTAAATAATAATGGGGAACTAGGAAACGGCAAAAGAAATAAACAGTCTTCATGGTAGAAGACATTAATAGCATTCCAAAAATACTAAGCAATCAAGGGGCCATAGCAATGACGAGAGCACCAAAATACAATAACTATCACTAGAGGTAAAAGTAATAGGAACCAAATGAGTCTAAAGGCCATGAGACATTGGACCTGCTAGGTTAAAGCCTGGCATTTTAAAGGAAGTAGGTACAGAGACAGTAATCTTCCAAGAATCCTTAAATTCTGGAAAAGTCCTAAAGGACTGAAAAACTGCCAATGCAACACCCATATTCAGAAAGGGACAGCAACAAAAACTGGTAACTATAGGCCAATTATCTTGACATCTGCTTTGGGAAAATGCTGGAGTGTATTATAAAGGATGCAATAGCGGAGCAATTAGCAGTGCATAACATAACTAAGCAGACTTAGCATGACTTCATGAAGGGGAAATCAGGTGTGACAAATTTACAATAAATATTTGAGGAGATAACAGCAGGATATATAAAGAAGAACGGGTAGATACAATGTATTTCGATTTCCAAAAAGCATTCAATAAGGTACCACACATAATAGAGCCCATGGTGTTGGAGGTAGTATATTAGCATGAATAGAGGATTCGCTAACAAATATAAGACAGAGAGTTGGAATAAGGGGGGCATTTTCAGAATGGCAATCTGTAACTAGGAATGCCACATAGATCATTGCTGGGCTAAAGTTACTTACAATATGTATTAATGATTTAGTTGAGGGAATTGAATATACTTAGCCAAGTCTACGGATGTCACAAAATAGATGTGAGGACAAGTGCTGAGGTTGACATTGTGAGTTTATAGACGGATATGGACAGATTAAGTGAATGGACGAAATCTTGGAAGATGAAATATGATGTGGGAAAATATGAGATTATACACTTTGACAGGAAGAATAGATGGGATGAATATTATTTAAACGGAGAAAGACTGTAGAAAGCTGCAGCATTTTGAGGTCCTTATGCTTGAATCACAAAAAGCTAACAGACAACTTAAGCACGCAATAAGGAAGGCAATAGGTGAGGCGATGGCCTAATGGTATTATTGCTGGACTGTTAATCAAGAGGCCCAGATAATGTACTGGATACCTGGGTTTGAATCCTGCCCATAGCAGATAGCAGAATTTGAATTCAATAAAAATCTGGAATTGAGAGTCTAGGTTATCAGGAAAAACCCAGGTGGTTCACTAATATGCTTCAGGAAAAGAAATTGCCATCCTTACCTGGCCTGGCCTACATGTGACTCCAGATACACTGCCCTTTTAGGAATGTCAATAAATGCTGGCCTAGCCCTCATCCCGCAAATGAATAAAACCAAACTGAAATGTTGGCCTCTCTCCCAAAATGAAGTATAAAAACACGGAGGTTTTGCTAAAACTATACAATGCTCTAGGTAGACCACTCCTACAATGGTTGCTTTATCTCAGGAAAGGCGTACTAGCATTGGAAACATTCCAGAGAAGAGCTGTAGAAGTTGTGTTGTTAAGTGCATTCAATGTTGACATGGACAGACTTTTAATCAAGTAGGGAACCAAGGGTTATTTGGAAAGCAGAGTTGATGATTATCAGATTCACCATGATGTCACTGAATGGCAGCACAGGCATGATGGCTCAAATAGCCTACACTTGCTCTTACATTTTATGGCCTTTAAGGAAGGAAATCGTAGAATCCCTACAATGTGGAAACAGGCCCTTCAGCCCAACAAGTCCACACCGACCCTTGGAGCATCCCACCTAGACCTATCCTCCTATAACCCACCTAAGCTACACATTCCTGAACACTACGGGCAATTTAGCATGGCCAATCCACCTAACATGCACATCTTTGGACTGTGGGAGGAAACTGCAGTACCCATAGGAAACCCACGCAGAACATGCAAACTCCACACGGACAGTCACCCGAGGGTGGAATTGAACCTGGGTCCCTGGCACTGTGAGGCAGCAGTGCTAACCACTGAGCCACTGAGCCACCGTACCACCTATGATCTTTACCTGGTCTGGTAAACATGTGACGTCAGACCCACAACAGTGTGGCTGACTCATAACTTCCTGCTCAAAATGGCCTAGCAAGCCACTTAGTTCAAGAGCAATTAGGAATGGAAAACTAGTGCCTTGCCAGTGGTACTCACATCCATGAAAGAATATGGAAACAAAATCTTAGTGCCATGGTTTTATTGCAAATCTGTTATCTGGGCAGATGTCCTCAACATTTGTTGTTCCCTCCAGTGGAAACAATAGAGTCAGTGGCAACCAGCAAAAGAAGAGCTCACCATTCAATTTCCAGAAACCCACCCTGTCCACATTCAGCTGGAAACAGGCAGATTGGCTTAAGAACCATAAATGTATTTAAAACTAAGTTATGTAAAGAATTCATTGGGTCCTGAGGACATTTGAAATTACATTCTCAGCATATTAATATCACGTAGAGTCATAAAGTAATACAGCATGGAAACAGGACCTTCGGCCCAAACTGGTTCATGCTGATCATGATGCCCACTCAGCTAGTTCCAATTGCCTGCATTTGGTCCACATACTTCTAAACCCATCCCATCCATGTACCTATCCAAATGTTTTTTAAATGTTGCTTTTGTACCGGCCTCAACCACTTTCTCTGGTAGCCCATTCCGTATACGTACCACTCTGCATGAAGAAGTTGCCCCTCAAGTCCTTCTTAAATCTTCCCCCTCTCACCTTAAACCTATGCCTTCTAATTTTCAATTCCCCATCCCTGAGAAAAAGACTATATGCATTTATCCTATCTATGCCCCTCATGTTTTTATTCTCCTCAATAAGGTCACCCCTCAAGCTCAAGCTTATTCCAAGGAATAAAGTCCTATCCTGGCCAACCTCTCCCTATAACTCAGGCAACATCCTCATAAATCTTTTTTGCATACTTTCGAGTTTAACTGTGTCTTTCCAATAACAGGGTGGCCAAAACTGCATACAATACTCCAAGTGTGGCCTCACCAATGACTTATACAACTGTAACATAATGACCCAACTCCTATACTCAATGCCTCGACCAATGAAGTCCAGCATGCCAAATGGTTTCTTCACCACCCTGTCTACCTATGACGCCGCTTTCAATGAACCATGTACTTGTGCTCCTAGGTCCCTCAGTTCCACAATACTCCTCAGGACCTTACCACTTACTGGATAAGTGCTACCTTGGTTTGACTTTCCAAAGTGCAACACCTCACGCTTGTCTGTATTGAATTGCATTTGCCAATCGTCAGCCGACTTCCCCATCTGTAATTTTTAATAACCTTCTTCGCTATCAACAATACCTCCTAATTTTGTATTATCCGCAAACTTACTAATCATGCCTTGTACATCCACATCCAGATCATTTACGTAAATAACAAATAGCAAAGGTCCCAGCACTGACTCCTGTGGGACACCATTTGTCACCAGGCCTCCAGTCCAAGAAACAACCTTCAACCATCACTCTCTGCTTCCTACCATAGAGCCAGTTTTGAATCCAATCCCCTAGCTTTCCCTGGATCCCATGTGACCTAACCTTCATGACTAGCTTGCCATGCGGGACCTTGTCAAAGACCTTACTAAAATCTATATGGACAACATCCACTGGCCTACCCTCATCCATCCTCTTGGTTACCTCTTCGAAAAACTCTAAAAGATTTGTCAGACATGACTTCCCATGCACAAATCCATGCTGACTATCCCTAATGAGATCCTGACTATCCAAATGTTGGTTGATACTGTCCCTCAGTATCCTCTCCAATAACTTGCCTACCACTGATGTCAGGCTCACTGGTCTGTAGTTCCCAGGCTTGTCTTTGCTACCTTTCTTAAACAATGTAACAATATTAGCCATCCTCCAGTCTTCTGGAACTTCACCAGTATCTAAAGATGAAGCAAAAATCTCTGCAAGGTCCTCTGTAATTTCTTCCTTAGCCTCCCACAACATCCGAAGATGGACTTGATCAGGCTCAGGGGATTTATCCACCTTAGATCGCATTAAGGCCACAAAAACCTCCTCTCTGGTAATATGTATGCAGTCCAAAATATCCCCATTTGTTTCCCTTATTTCCTTAGCATCCATGAGTCTCTCTTCAGTTAGCACTGAGGAGAAATATTCATTAAAAATCTCCCCTCTCTCCTGTGGCTCCATACATAGACAGCCATGCTGATCTTTAAGGGGATCTATACTCTCCCTAGCCACCGTTCTACTCTTAACATAGCTTACCTTATCTGCCAGATCCATCTCATACCATCTTTCTGCTCTTCTGATTTCCCTCTTAAGTGTGCTCCTACACTTTTTATAGTCATCTAGGGATTCATTTGAACGCAATAGATTAAACCCAATGTATGCTTTCTTCTTTTTTCTAACCAAAGCCTCAATATCCCTCATCAGCTAGGGATCCCTAAACCTGCCAGCTTTTCCCTTCACCCTAACGGGTACATACTATTCCTGGACTCCTGATATCACACTTTTAAAAGCCTCCCACTTGCCTTTTTCTTCAAGCAGGCTCACCCAATCTACCGCTGCTAGATCCTGCCTAATGGCCCTTGAATATCAATCATGGCAATACTCACCTCAGATAGTAGGGTTGTGTCAGTTAATGTTAATCCCTGTAGATCCAGATTGAGACTCTTGGGCAATGTGTTAGGGGAGGGGCTGCTCTGGAAAGTTGTGGGTGAGCTGACTGAAAGAGAAAAGAAAGGCGGAAGAGGGTGAAAGAGAAGTACGAACTCCAAAGAACTTTCTTATGTTGCAGAAACAACCCTCATTGAATATCAGTCTGCTCTGTGCTGACAAATTAAGATGACTTCAGAATGTTCAAATGACTGAATCACAGATTTATGACAGCATGGAAGGAAGCCATAGAACCCATCATTTCTGCACCAGCTCTGCAAATGAACATTTCACTTTGTGCCATTCTCTTGCCTTCTCCCAATAACCCTGCATAACAATCCTTTCAAATAACAGTCTAATAACCTTTTGAAGATCTCAAATGAACCTACCTAGATGACACACAGACAATGTGTTCCGGACTAATAGCTCACTGGGTGAAAAAACTTGTTAACATATCACAATTTTCTTGTTTTGCCAATTAAATTTGTACACTCTCATTCTTGATCCTTTCACGGTTGAGAATATTTTCACCCTCCCTACTCTGTCCAGACTCTCATGATTTTGACTACTTCAATCTGATCTCCTTTCACCCCTCTCTTATCCAAGGAAAACAATCCTAACGTCTTCAGGCTATCTTCAGAACAGAAATTCCTCATCCCTCAGACAATTTTTGTAAATCCTTTTTCGATGCCATCATGTCCTTCCTAAAAGCGGTGCCAAGACTGAATGCAATACTTGAACTGGGGTCCGGTAGTGATCCGAACATCACTGTCTCAAAACAATCAGGGACAAACAAGAAGTGCACCTTTGACAGATCCGACCAAAATCTGAGAAACATTTAAAAATGATCCCAAATCCCTTCTCCGAGTGTAATGGAAGTAGAAAGTCAATCTATATGTTGATTTGGAGTGAAACAAAAATGAGTTCTGTGGTACCAATTAGGGGTATTCGAACTTCTTCATCTCATAACTGGTAAGTGCTAATCTCCTCGAAAACATTCCTTTTCCCGAGCAATCGGCATTAATCCCATTAAATGGATGGTTAAACAACCTCTATCATGGCACCAAGACATCTGTGATCATGGCACCCTGACCTGAAACAGGCAAATGCCTATGACATTCATGAAGGGGTACTTCTGGAAAATGGCAGCCATGGCAATGGTGTATCGGCATATAAATGTAATGTTTCAGCCACAATACCTGGCAGAAAGGGTTAAGAATTAAACATTTTGGTGCTAGATTTGTGTGCACGCATCTAGTAGAAAGCAGAGCTATTTAACTACGGTGATCTTGGAAAAAATGGAAACCCAAAATGCCGTTAGAATTTTAAAATAATCAAAGCGACAGGCACATTTTGGAGTAACCGTAGTGTCTACTTTTAACTATTCTCAAAACTACTGAAATGAAAAAAAAAGACTCACAGTCATCTAGGTCAAGGAGTGAGATCTCCTTCTGTTTGGCCTCAAGCGGCCTCGGAGGTGGTTTTGCTGTGGAAAGCTGAGAAAAGAAAAGAATAGAGCAAGTCATCTGCAAAAAGGCTAACGAAAGGTTTGACTTATTTGTGTTTCAGTTTTCTGTTTGCCAGTTTCAGTCACTTCCACATTCCTGAATCATGAATCAATTAGTAGCTTCTCCGAAAAGCCCCACATTTGGGCTTGATATTTCTCTGTGGTGTAGAATTTGGATTGTGCATGCTGACCACAATCTTTGCCCTAATTTCCCAAGGTGGACACTGTAGACAGGCACTCTATAAACCATTTATGAGGCAACCCAGGTGCCCAACTCCAATAGGACAATTAGAAAGAAATGTGTTAAGGTGGTTGGAAAGTAGGTAGGGGGAGACAGTGTATAATGTCATTAGACTAATAATCCAAAGGCTAGCACTCTGGGAACTCAGTTCAAATCCCACCTGGGCAGATGGTTAATTTGAAATCAACTAATAAATCTGGTATACAAAACTGACCTTGATAATGGTCAACAAGGTGCAGGGCTGGATGAACACAGCAGGCCAAGCAGCATCATAGGAGCAGAGAGGCTTAATGGTCATATCAGTTTTCATCACAAATTGGAAATATCCACTAAATTAAAGAAAATTCACCTTCCTAACATGGTCTGGCGTGTATGTGAGTCCAGACCAAAAGCAATGTGGCTGACTCTTACTTCCCCTCTGAAATGGCCTAGCAAGCCACTCAGTTCAGGGGCAATTGAGTTTGGATGGGCAAGAATTCTGGCCTTGACAAAAACACCCACATCCCATGAAAGAATTTAAAACAAAATCCAAATTTAAGTCTTGATATATGAGAATCAGAGGCAGGAACCCAAAATAAGTGGCACCTCAGCCCAATGATTGAAGCTGCAGTCACTGCTCCACAACTGCTCTAAGGAAATCCAGGAATATTGCTGTCAACCTCTATCTAATAGTACTCATATTGAAACTTACTGTACACTTTATTGTTGAAGGCTTTACATGAATGCAAGTTGTTGTTGCTGTTAATTCCACTGGTTTGAAAGCGATTCCAACTCTCAAGTGAACTTAGAACTAGTCAAAGAGAACCAAATTCAAGTGTCACCCTCAACTCTAAACCAATATATAAATTTAGATGTGGAAAGATAGAAGGCACCTCAAGTGCAGCATAAACAGCAACAGGGGCTAGTTGGGCTGAATGGCTTGCTTCTATGCCTTATATTCAATGTCAAGGCAGACTTCAGAAACAATGACAAAATCTGAAGGGAGAAACTTTCCAAATTGCAGAAAAGTGGAATTCTATGTTCAGAGTGAGCATAGGAACAAGGTTAGGTCAATCAATCCCTTGGGCACTTTTGACATACCCTTGATATCTTTAATATCTAGATTGCAGGAGTAGTAGATGGCAGGGAAAAAAAGGTCAGTTGAAGTAAATGTGTCAAGTGAGGAGAATTTTTAAAATAACTTCTCTGGAAGCAGGCAATCTTGCCCATTGTTGCCCATCCCTATTTGTGTTGAAGATAATAAGGGGGTAAATTTCTGCTGTATAACTAGGCTGAGTGTAAATAGTTTTTCCAGGGATTTTCCTAGTTTCTTGTCCAACCTAATGCTGGGAGAGCCAAAAGGTCACCCAAAAACTCATCCATGTAGGTAGCAGGTCCCTTTCATGGATGGATATCAATGACTAAGTCAATGTCCAGAACAATCTGGAGACTTCCGTGGTCATTTCCTGATGCCAGCATTCAGTTAGCAGATTTGTTTCTTTTCTATTCTTTTGTGGGATGTGAGTAACATTGGCAAGGCCAGCCATACTGTACTTGAACTGAGCAGTTTGCTGGGCCGTTCCAGAAGAGAGTTGCTGGTGGCTCATATGTAGGCCAGACAACATAAGAATGGCAAATTTCCTTCCCTAAAAGAACATGAGTGAATCAGATGGCTTTTTACCACAATCAATGGCGGTTTCATGGTTCCCATCACTGAGACTAGTTTTTAATTCTAAATTCATTAATTGAATTTAAATTTCACCAGTTAGCACAGTGGGATTTGGACAATGTCCACACAGTCTATGCATCTCTATTTGTCCAGTGACATTACAATTTATCCAGTGACATTACCATTTCGCCACTGCCTCTCCTGTAATTTACTGAATTTGATGATAATAATTCTGGAATTAAAAACACAATGTTAGAGAAATGCAGCAGGTCTGGCAGCAGCTATGGAGAAAGAAACAATATTAACATTTCTAGTTGTGAGTATTTCAACATCATTTTTCAGTTCTGATGAAACGTTATTAACCTGAAACCTGCTGAGCATTTCCAGCAATTTCTGTTCTCATTTCAGATTTTTAGCGTCAGCAGTATATTATTTTTATTATTACATATAATAATTTGTCATAGTGTAGTTTCAACACTGCAGCTCTGGGATTAGTCCAAGTACATGGACCAGCAACATTTCACATCTTCTGAATGCATCGCAACAAAAATAGACCCGTAACTGACTCACCTTCTTCCTGCTCTTTTTATTGGTATCCAATTCAGACTCCCCCTCTGACTCCAATTCTGATGAGCTGTTCTCTGATGAACTTTCCTCAGAGGAGGAAGAAGACGAGGAACTCGATTCTTCCTCCTCTTTGCGTTTCTTCATGGTCTTCTCTTCACCTTCACTTTGCCCACTGAAAAATGCATTGAGGGAAATAAGGAGTTAATTATGTTCCAGTAAGTGAGCATCCCACACAAATTGGCTATATATCCACAAACATCAATTCCCGCCATCACCAACACTCAGTAGCAGCAGCTTGTACCACCAACAAGGTGCAGCAACTTATCAATGTTCCTTAGCACCTTCCCAACACACAACCACTACCATCTAGAAGGTTGAGGGCAGCAAATACATAGTAACACCAACACCTTCGAGTTCCCCTCCAAGCCACTCACCATCCTGACTTGGAACTATATCACCATTTCTTCAGTGTCACTTGGTCAAAATCTTGGAAATCCCTCCCTAATGGGTCTACCTATAGCACATGGACTACAGTGGTTCAAGAAGGCAGCTCACCACCACCTTTTCAATAGCAATTAGAGGTGGGCGATAAATGCTGGACCAAACAGTGACACCCACATCCCACAAGTGAACAAAAGAAAACGTAATCACTATACTACACAGTTCATCACAGGAGACCAGCCTTCAATTACAACTTGCATTCATACAAAAGCAAAATATTGTGGACAGTGAAAATCTGAAATATAAACCAAAGATGAGGTAAACACTCAGCAAGTTTGGGAATATCTGTGGAGAGAGAAACGGAATTAATGCTTCAAGTTGAGGACTTTCACCGGAAAGAGGCTAACTTGTTAGATCTCCACAACTTTCTCTCCACAGATGCTGCCAGATTTTCTGAGTAGTTCCAGCCAGAAGTGCCAAGTGGATGATCCATCTCAGCCTCCTCCAGGGGCCCCTGCATCACAGATGCCGGTCTTCAGTCAATTTGACTCATACCGTGCAATATCAAGAAATGGTTGGGAGGCACTGGTTACTGCAAAGGCTTTGGACCCTGACAACATTCCAGCAACAGTACTGAAGATTTGTGCTCCAGCACTTCCCACTCCCCTAACAAAGCTGTTCCAACACTGATATCTACCAGATAATGTGGAAAATTGCCCACAAAAATTGTACACAAAGAGCAGCACAAATCCAACCCAGCCAATACCACCCCAAGGGTCTACTCTCGATCATTAGTAAAGCAACAGAATGTGTCATCAACAGTGCTATTCAGCAGCACCCGCTTAGCAATAACCCACTCAGTATGCCCAGTTTGGGCTCCCCCACTCAGATCCTGACCTAATTATAACTTTGAATCAAACGCAGACAAAAGAGCTGAATTGCAGAGGTGAGGTGAGAGTGAAAGCCCTTGACATTAAGGCAGCATTTGATCGAGTGTGGCATCGAGAAACCCTACCAAAACTGGGATCAATGGGAATCGGGGGCAAACTTTCCACTGGTTGGAGTCATACCTGGCACATGGGACAATGGTTGTGGTTGTTAGAGTCGGTCATCTCAGCTCCAGGGCATCTCTGCAGAAATTCCTGAGGATATTGTTCTAGGCCCAACAAGCTTCAGCTACTTCATCAATGACTTTCCCTCCATCTTAAGACAGAAGTGGGGATGTTCACCGATGATCACACAATGTTCAGCACCACTTGCGATGATTCAGATACTGAAGCAGTCCATATTCAAATGCAACAAGATCTGGACAATATCCAGGCTTGGGCTAACAAGTGGGAAGTAACATTCCTGTCACACAACTTCCAGTCAATGACTATCTCCAGTAAAAGACAATCTAACCACCACCTCTTGAAATTCAATGGTGTTACCATTACTGAATCCCCCACTATCAATATGCTGGGTTTACCATTGATCAGAAACTCAACTGGACTCCCGGTATGAATATAGTGGCTTCAAGAACAGGTCAAAGGCTAGGAATTTTGCAGGGAGTAACTCATCTCCTGACTCTCCAAAACCTGTCTACCATCTACAGGACACAAGTCAGAGTGTGATGGAATACTCCCCACTTCCCCGGATCGGTACAACTACATCAACATTCAAGAAGCTTGACTCCATCCAGGAACAAAGTGTCCATTTAACTTGCACCAAATCCACAAGCACCTACTCCCTTTACTACTACTGAGCATCAGTGGTGGTGTGTACTACCTACAACATGACTGCAGAAATTCACCAAAGATCCTTAGAGAGCACCTTTCAAACCCACTATCACTGTTATCGAGGAGTACACAGGCAGAGACACATGGAAATGCCTACACCTTCAAATTACCTTCCAAGCCACTCACCATCCTGACATATATCACCATTCCTTCACTGCTGCTGGGTCAAAATCCTGGAATCCCGAGCCTTACAGCATCATGCGTCTACCCACAGCAGATAGACTGCAGCAGTTCAAGAAGGCAACTCACACCACCTTCTCAAGGGCAACTAGGGACAGGCAACAAATGTTGTCCAGCTGTGAATGCATAGACAACACACAGTGAATAAAGAAAAAAATCTGTGAAGCGTGCTCTTGGTTGTGCTAAAAGAAGAAGGGGAATATTCTGTTTTGTTCTTTAAAGTGTACGTTGTGTCTAGAAATCGTATTTAGTAAACGGTGCTTTTGTTTCTGCTTTGCTCAGTAAAAGTTTTTAAACTTAAGTAAAAGCATCACGGTAAGAGTATTGTGACATCCTTTCAGCTATTCAGTGGAAGTTTAAATTTCTTTTTAAAAGTTGTTGGTCTCTATGGCGATTATAACAAATGACCCCCCTCACACCTATCACATATACCAGACCTTCTCCTTACCTAATTACCTTATTCCTTCACTAACTCTTCTCTAAGATACATTGTAATTTTCTTGCAATTGGAAACTTCCTTCAATCAGTTTAACAAAATCAGGCACAGCCTCGCAGAAGAAAGTACTGAAAGTGCCCACTCATTTATGGCCAACTTCACCAACCTGTCCTCGCTGTCATCTTGTTTCTTGCTCTTCTCCTTTCTTGCTTTCTTCTTGTTCTCCTTGTCTGATTTGATCTCTTCATCACTCTCTTCATCACTCCCTGAGCCACTCTCACTCTCAATTTCACTCATGCTTTCAGACTCGCTGGCAGTCGGGGACTCTGCGAACATTAACAGCCATATATTGAGTTAGACAAAGAGATTTTGGCCCACAGCAATCAGATCACCCCTCAATCACATAAGAACATAAGAAACAGGAGCATGAATAAGCCAGGCAAGTCATTTATTAGAGACCAAACATCTGTCTATTCCGGCTGTAAATATATTAAACAATTGAAACATACACAACCCTGTGAAGCAAAGAATTCCAAAATTCACGACTCTCTTAGTGAAGATATTTTCTCCTCTTCTCAGTTCTAAATGATCAACTCACTTATCCATGCCCCCATATTCTAGATTCCACAGCCAGGGGGAAATAGCCTTTCAGTTTCTACCTTGTCGAGCCCCTTCAGAATTCTGAATGTTTCAATGAGATTGCCTCTCACTCTTCTATAGTCCAGAGAACACAGGTCCAATTTACAGAGTTTCTCATTATAGGATAAATTATCCCAAAACCCTGTGCAATTGTTGCAAGATATCTTTATTTTGTATTTCAATCCATTTACAAATTGCCACCTTAATTTTTTGCTGTACCTGCATGTAGCCTGTTAGTATTCCTTGTACGAGCCCATGCTTGTCTGTCTGAACATCAATACTTACAAGTTTCACGCTTGTTAAAATATATTCTGCTTTTCATATTATACTCAACCTGCCACCTTGTTGCCCACTCAATTAATCTGAATATATCCTTTTACAGCCTATTCATGGCCTCCTCACATCTTACCTCACCTAGATTTGTATCTTCAGCAAACTTTAATAGATTATTCCAGAGATAGTAGGAACTGCAGATGCTGGAGAATCTGAGATAACAAGATGTAGTGCTGGGTGAACACAGCAGGCCAAGCAGCATCAGAGGAGCAGGAAGCCTTCCTGCTCCTCTGGTGCTGCTTGGCCTGCTGTGTTCATCCAGCTCTACACCTTGTTATCTTTAATAGATTATTGTCTATCTCTTTGTATAAATCATTAATATAGATTTCAAATAGCAGAAACCCCAACATTGATCCTTCCAGTACTTTACTATTCTTAGCCTGTCAACTTGGAATTGCTCCATTTATGTCTACTTTCAGATTCTTGTTTGGAGACCTATTCTATATCTATGCTAATATATCACCACTATTTCCATGAGCCCTTATCGTGTAGACTGACCTTTCTGCATGGCACCTCATCGACTGCCTTCTGGAAGTTAAATGTACAATACCTCTTGGTTCCTCTGCCAGTTACATTCTCAAAACATACTATTACATTTGTGAAAAGTCATTTCTCTTCCATAAAAAGAATTAATTTGTTCTAACATTACTGTGCTTTTCAAAATGAATTATTAAGACTTCTTTAGAAATAGATTCCAGCATTTTCTGGATCACTCTGGCAGGCTAACTAGTCTATTACATTCTCTCTCTCTCTCTCCCCCCTTTTTAAAGCATTATTACATTTGCCAACTTTCAAGCAACCACAGCCAGCACATCCACTCGCTCTAAAGTTTCAGAACTTGTAGGATGAAGCCAACATGTCCTACAGATTTTTCAGGTTCGAGTCACACAGGATCAGAATTGTTACAGCACAGAAGGTGGCCATTCAGCCTATCATGTTTGCACCAGTTCTTCAAATGAGCATCATCACTTGGTGCCAATCTCCTGCTTTTTCCCCATACCCTTGCATCCCACATCCAAATCATCATCAAATGTCCTCTTGAAGTCCTTTAAGTTGCTCCAGCATTTTTTCTCTGCTGGTATTAATTACTCTAATTTCTTCAAACTTATCAACCCCAGGTTTACCCTCTAATTTTGATATGTAACTTATGTCTTCTATTGTGAAGATTATTCTCAACTTAACAATAACAACTTATATTCATATTGTGTCCTTACTATAATAAACTGTCCCAAGGCACTTCATCATGAAACAAAATATGACACTGACCCACATAAGGAAATATTGGATTAAATCATCAGAGGTAGATTTTTAAGGAGGGTCTCAAAGGAAGAAAGCATGGTGAAGGGCTATAGAGAGGTAATTCTGAAACTTAGGACCTCATGGCTCTATACTTTTGTCAAGCAAACAATTAATTAATCTAATATCAAGCACTGATCTAAAAGCAGTTTAAAAGATGTGCTAGCAAAATGCATTGCAAACATTTCCAGGTGAGGCAATTGTATGTGATTACAACTTCTATCGACTGCAATCTCCAGCATTCATTACTCACGACTGTCTGCCGATTCAGTAGGTTCAGACTCCCCCTCAGAATCAGAATAGAAAGGTTTTTCCACCTTCTCCTTTCTCTTCTCTCGGCTACTGGGTTTAGTCCATTCTGAAACCTGGAAGGAAGGAATTAAATAAAGATTCATCCTTTCAGCACAAAGTGGAGTGGGGAATCAAACCATAAGGCAGGCAGCAATTTTGGATCAGGATGAGACAGAGAGATTTGGAGGCTAGTCTTGTAAATTTTAACTCTCAGTGTCCACTGTTAAATCCATTATTGGTTTGTAGATGGGCACAGACAGTGAATGGTGCACAAGACAGCAGTGAATACAACCTTGCATTTCTACCAAATGCTGTTAAGTATGACCACTTGGTGTATTGTCAATTCTCAAGATGTCTGTGCAAAAGGCCTTAGCAACATGCACGCAAGAGGACACACAAATCATACACAAATCACACAAGGCCCATGCTCCCCAGCCCAGGACACATGTGTTATATTTAGGTACAAAGCATAAAAATTACCCAGTCTTTTTATGTGTAACAAATTCAGTGTAATAATGTCCAGCTTGATTGACAAGAACACAAGATTTGGAAAGCGAAGTAGGCCATTTGGTCTCTTGAGCCTGCTCCTCCATTCAATAAGATCATGACTGATTGAATTGTGGTCTCAATTCCACATTCTGGCTTGGCCCCATAACTTCTCACTCTCTTGTCAATCAAAATTCTAGTCAAATTTAGCCTTGAATATATTTAATGAACATTATTCTCTGGTGAAGTGGATACAAAAGAAATCTTTCCCATCTCCATTCTAAATGGGAGACTCCTTGGCTGAATCTTACCTTGTTTTGGCTAAGACTGAATCGTGTTGAGATTTTTGGAGGGTTTTTCACAGTGAAGCCAAGTGAGTTTTCTCACTGTATCTTGCCAAACTCACTACATTAATTACCTACTACACTCCTATGGCATCCCTTATATCTGATTTCTACCTCATTTTACCATGTGCTGTTCTCAGAGTAGCCTGCCACTCAAAGGATACCTGCCAAAAGACTGGCAATCCTTGAGTCCACAACTAGACTTTAAAAGACCTGGCATTCTAAAGTTGCACTGCATGTCAAAGGACAGAGTCAGAACATGGCAGAGAAGAAAAGATGGCACCACTATTCTCCAACAGGAACTTAGTTGTCCTGACAGATGGGGTGGTACAAAGGAGAGGAGTTCTCTTCCAGAAGATCAGCAAGGATGTCATGCCAAGATGCTGTCAGCTTGGTCTGTGGTCACAACTAGGGTCAGTGCCACTTCCAGGCTACAGAAGAACAGCCAGCAGTACTGCAAAAAGGTAAATGACTCTCCCACTCAACCGGGGCTAATACCACACTCCTCTTAGCCACCTCACAATAGTCTACTGTCTATGGAGAAATGCCTGGTTCTACCAGAAGCTCCTCCTGAACCTTGGAGAGCGAGGGTAATGAGGCCTCAGAGAAAACATCGGAAAGGTTGTCACTTGCACACCACTACCAGCTCGGATAATGATGCCTAGGTGGAAATGTTAGGTGTAGAAAGTGTAGGAGCACAAGTTGGTGAGCACCTCAATATGACAGCATTTCAGCTGGTTAAGGAAGAAATGCCCCAGGCTGCTGGCACTTAGAGGCCTGACAGGTACCAAGCCCAAGGAAGGAGATGCACCTGTGGTGTTAGCAAACAAAGACTTCATCAAAATGCACAGGGCACAGCAGCTGCAGCAGACAGGCACCTGGAATGTAGTGGGCATTTCAAATGCTCATCCAAGTGCTTTTTAAAGGTTGTAAGTTTACCCACAACAACTATCGTCCCAAGCAGTGCAAATCAGATCCCCACGATCCTCTGGGGGAATTATGTTTCCTCAAATCTGCTCTAAACCTCCTGCCTTCCAACTTACAATTATGACCCCTTGTTTAATTACCCTTCAACTAAGGCTGCTTTCTATTCACAGATAGTAGGATTCTATTCACTCTGTCCACGCCCTTCATAATCTTATGCACCTCTATCAGGTACCCACTCAACCTTCTCTGTTCCAAAGAAAACAACCTGAGTTTATCCAGCCTCTCTTCATAGCTAAAGTGCTCTACCCTTGTCAACACCCTGGTGAATCTCTTCTGCATCTCCTCCAGTATAATCACATCCTTCGAGCAGAGCAGAGACCAGAACTTTCTCCAGTTGTGGCCTAACAAAACTTCTGCACAGCTCCAACAAAACCTTCCTGCTCTTATAAACTATGCTCAACTGATTCAGTCAAGTGTCTCGAATATCTTCTTAACTACCCTATTAATCTGCCCTGCCACCATCAGCAAATTGTGAACAAACACCCCAAGATCCCTCTGCTCCTCTGAGCTTCATACTTCTCCTGCCATTCATTGAGTATTCCCTTATCTTATTACTTTGTTCAAAGTGCACCACCTCATACTTATCAGGGTTAAATTCCATCTGCCATTGATCTGCCCATCTGACCAATCGTTTATATCCTTTTGTAACCTAAGACCTCACTATCAGCCACTTGACCAATCTGCATGTCATCCACAAACTTAGTTAACATCCTATTGTGCCAGGATCCCAGACTGATGGGTTCCTCCATGAACAGCAGTGACAACTACTCCCCTAAGACTTTGAGAAATGGCTGCTTGCTTAATGTAGTGTGTTTGCTGCTTAAGCTGATGCAACATGGAGCAGGTGTGAGATTTACATGACACATTGCGAGTTATGCTCCCCCCTTGACTGAGAACAGCTGACCAGCAAGGTAAATCATCTGAAATAAGCAAAAACAGAAGTTGCTGGAGAAACTCAGAGTTTAAAAACCAGGCGGGAAAACACAACGGCGCTTCATTGGAGGCTGCACTGATGATGTTACCCAGCAGGGTAATGAAACGTCTGCGGAACAACAACAAACCAGCTCAGCAAGCCAACCAACCACAACTTGTCGAATCTTCCTGAGGTCTATTTTGTTTAATGAGTTCATTAATATGGGAGTCTGAATATTAATAAAATAAATTGTGCTATCGATAGGGCATTTGACAAGCAGTATTCACAGGCAATTGGTAACTGTCAGAATTTACCTTATCTCAACCTGTCATGATATTGTTCAGCTGTATCAAATCTCCCCTAAATTTCCTTTGGGTGGTTCGTATGTGGAACGAATTGCCAGGGAAAGCGGTAGATGCAGGTACATCAGTGCTAATTTCCAACCATTCACAGTTTATTTACCAATTATTAATCAATGAAACCAAAGATTTAAAAGATTCTAATATCGTTCATCTAGAGAACAGAAAAATTAGCAAAGTGGCTTAGTGGTTAGCACTGCTGCCTCACAGCACCAGGGATCAGGGTTCAATTCCAGCCTCAGGCAACTGTCTGTGTGGAGTTTGCACATTCTCCCCATGTCTGCTCTGATTTCCTCCCACAGTCCAAAGATGTGCAGGTTAGGTGGATTGGCTATGCTAAATTTCCCATTGTGTCTTGGGATATGTAAATTAGGTGGCTTAGCCATGGAAAATACAGGGTTACAGGGATAGGATAGGGTGAGTCTGGGTGGGATGCTCTTCGGAGAGTTGGTGTACTTGTTGGGCCGAATGGCCGGTTTCCACACTGTACAGACTCAATGATAATTTCTTCGTTAAGATTTCTGTTAACCAACATGGAAAAAAGTGGCTGGGTCATACTCCTGATTTCATACTTGTCACTGTGTTTGACAAATTTTGCTTCATTACTATTAATATCATTAAGGCCAAGAAAAGCAGGTGGTGGATATTAATTATATTTGAGCACATATGAATAGGGTATGGCCTTCTTGTGATGCAATGGTAGTGTCCCTACCGCTGAACTAGGAAACTGGATTCAAGTCTGACTTGCTCCAGAGATCTGTAACAGGTTGACTGGGAGCTATCCATATTGAAGTAAGGAGTGGCTGTGAGTGTGACACTGAGCATGAGATGAGAATCCCAAGACTGAGGAAATCTATAAACTCCCTCCACAAAGAGAAGCTGCCTGTCTTGGTTTCTATCTCACTGCTTGGCATGGAATCTACAGCTGAATGTAGTCCCAAAGCATTTACATGAATAAACATAAGAAATTGGCTGTACCAGGAAACCAAATGGGCATCATGTCAGTGAGGCAGAACAGTGGATTTCAAGGAGTGAAGTTCTGGCCACTGGAGGGTTCTCGAGGCAGTCCAGAGGCTGGCCCAATCATATCATAGCCAACCTGCATGATGTAATAAGCCAGAACTCTCATCCTTAACACTCACAATTCATTACACAAAATACAACCAGCACAGTTCTCACGAACACAGCATGTACTGGCACTGGAGGGGGTGCAAAGGAGGTTCACTAGGTTGATTCCGGAGTTGAGGGGGTTGGCTTATGAAGAGAGACTGAGTAGATTGGGATTATATTCATTGGAATTCAGAAGATTGAGGGGGGATCTTATAGAAACATATAAAATTATGAAGGGAATAGATAAGATAGAAGTAGAGAGGATGTTTCCACTGGCAGGTGAAGCTAGGACAAGAGGGCATAGCCTCAAGATTAGAGGGAGCAGATTTAGG